TGCAATCCACGGCTTCATAGGTAGAATACTATTTTTTACGTTTGGTTTTTTTCTGGCTTCTCAGACTAAAAGTATTTAATTCCTGCTAGCCTTGAGGTCCAAGATGGAAATCCTTACAAAAATGTCTCCTAGCCTTGGTTAACTCTTCATTGGCATATATCATTGAAAAGGTAGAAGACCTAAATTCCTTGTGTTGAACTCGGACTCTTCCACTTAATTCACCAGGAACTATTGTTTCCTTGTGATCTGATCGTTCAGCTTCCTGCCACCGCCCTACGCCAAAAATTTCAGTTTACGACTCCTGATTCTCTATTACTCCATCGTCCTGCAGCTGAGGAGGACAAGCTGTTAATTGTCCACATGTTATGCATTCAAAACCCAGCTTGTTTTTATGTTCCTGCACAGTTTTATTTCAAGTAACGTGTGTAATAGCTATGTATCCATGAAATGCAGTTTTGTGAGTATCTTTTTTCTCTGCTCCTGTATCCGGAAGCAACGAGGAGGAATGAGATGCTTACCTCGCTTCAGTTTCTGGTTAATTATACAGTAAGGGATTTAGTTGAGAAACCCCAGCCTGAACCTGTTTGTGAATTTTCCTTAAAGCTGCAAAGACAGGTCTTAAAAGAGCCCTCTCTCTTGTATTTTGTATATCCTCAGCCTCACACTGTGAAGAGGAAAATATTACAACCTGTACAAGAGCTGCTTTATCTCAATAGACTTGGCAAGAGGCGCGTGACTCCTGTCACATTGTGCCCCAGAAATTGTAGTGCTTTACCTAAATAGGTAATTGATGACTTCAGCCTTCAGGGGCTAGTAGCAAAACCTTCTGTTTTTTAGAAAAAAAGAAACCTGGCAGATCATTGTATGTGTCATGATCTTCATGTGGAAATGGAGGGAGAGGATGAGCAACATTCCTGCATCCCTTCCCCCTGCAGAGACAGAACTTCTGGGAGCTGCAGTTGGCTGCTTTGGGGAGGGTGGAGGGATGTGGTGGTGGCAGCGTCTGCGAGACCATGGCCTACTCGAGTGGGCTCTCCAGTGGGAGAGCCCCTTCGCAAAGACAAACCAATATTTGCGGCACAAATTCCTTCTTGCAAGGTGTTTGACTGAGTGTTTGGAAGGTGGAGTAGGTGGAGAGCAAGGCTGGAGAGCTTTCCCAAGGGCAGGCTCCTCAGAGAGCCTTGTGAGGTGGTGGGTGGCACAGAGGAACCTCCGTGGAAGTGTGAAGAGAACCTTTAGGCTCCTGATTCACTGGAGCACTGCAGTGCTTAATGCTTCAATGGACCTTTTGTGCGTATGTTGATATACTGTAGCGGATAGTGTATATTATGTATGTGAGAAGAGGTGGGGGGAAAAAGTCTTCTGTGTGTTGAGTTGGATGGATGAGATCTGGTTCACTCCTGGTTGTCCCTCTCCTGAGGGACAAAGCTGCATGGATTTATAGTCCTTGAGTCTGGAATGGGCTTCCTGGGTATACATTTGGTGTAAACTAATCAACCACTGAAAACATTTATGAATTACTAATCACTGAGCAGTTAAGGTGTTTGCCTGTGTTGTATATACCTGGTGTGGACCTTCCGCTGTGACCATCTAGATCAGGGCTTTTCAGTTGACTTTTGCTGGGCTGTGTGCGGTGTGCCAACTCCAGTGCTCCATGTCGCCTTCATGGTAGTTGGGCCCTGAAAGGCTCTTGGATGTTGTAAACTCTCCTTCAGGAATGGGGTGCATCTCTCATGTCTGAGACTTCTGTAAAATTCTGAAAATACTTTTTACTTTGAGCTAGAGTTCACTGTTTGAGTAGCTCTGGTCTGGTGTCCCTGTCACAGCCTAGGATCTTCCTGGGCTTTGCTGTCTTGATATTCAGTAGGTATTGGAAATTGTATTCACTATTGCAGAATGCATAAAGGGTGCTGGCCGTGTAGCCGTTGGATATGAAAAAGAAATATTATCAGTTCTTGAAATTCAGTATAAAATGCTATAAAACTGTACCATAGAAAAGATTTTATCAGTTTAAAAAGAAGATTGTCTTCTCCCCCTGCCCTCCCAGCCATCAGAAGAAGGAAAATGGGGGAATGGGGATTGAGAGATGTAGCTGTTGTAAAAATCTTTAAAAAGATTGGCACCGAACAAAAGGATTTTTAGACGTAATTTTCTCATTCAGACAGTACAGAATTCCCTTGTGTCAAACTTACCTCTTAAGTCACTTGTACCGGGCTTGCTAGATCGTTAGCAAATTCTTGTGCAAACTAGAACAATAAACATCTGAAGAGGTATTTTGAAGCGGAGGAGGGGGAAATATGCCCTCTTACATACATGACTGCCAAGCGTGATTTTCATCCACTTCAGCTGGCACGACTTCTTTTTGCTGGCAGTGTATTTGCATTGTCAGACGTCACAGGGCTTATGCTTGGTTTATGGCTTTATTATTAGCAATGCTGCACAATCTGTGTTCCAGAACATCTGGGGCACCCTGTAAATGTAGAGCATTCGTCAGTGTGTAGCATTAGAAGAATCCTAGATATTTAAGTAGGATTTGAGCTGGTTATCCAGCAGCGGCAAGAAAAGCGTTCAACCTTCCTGCTGCTGCTATGGGCCGAGATGTACATGGTCATGTCTGTAATGAAATTGAGGAGTCAACAGTAGTGGTGGAAGATGCTTAATCCATCAAGAGACAAAAGGACTTCTTTATAATTTTAACATCCTCTGTTGCATTTCAGTTGATTATGTCAGCGCTTCTATTACAGACCATCATCTTCTCTACTGTAATTAACACTGCAGTTTTTTTGTCGTATGCTGAAATGCTCCTTGCCTTTTCTCTTCGAAGTTGATTCATTCAATGCAATGTTACAGTAGTCTTCACCTGTAGTGATAAAAGTGTCTTCTCATAACTTGGTTGTGTTTTGCCTGAGAAATCTTTTTAAGATGCCTTGCAATTAAAACTAGTTATATTTCAACCTTGTTGCACTTACTAAATGTGTAATGATCCTCAGTTGAGAGAGTGGCACTGAATTTTTGTCTGTCCTATGTTCAGTTAGGTGGGGGAGAAAAATGAATAGTGAAAGTATCAATGGGGAGAGGGAAATGCACTTTACGTGCAAAAACCCCATAGAAATGGGATTTCCCTTCCTTTACTCGTGTCTGTTACCATTTGTTACTGAAGATTTTTGCTCATGTAGTGACTTCATAATCTGAAATACCTAGGCTGGGAAAGCACATTTCATTTTCAAACCAGATTTAGTTGTTTGCAAATGCGTCCGAACTATAAGCAGTGCCTATTCTGTCTTATTTCAGGTAGTATCTTTTATTGGAGTCATTTTTACTTAACTCAGATACTTGTTGGCTTTTACAGATGATACCTAAGACTTGTAACAGAAAAAGCTTATCAAAATAGTTTTACTGAGAGGGCATATCTTCTGGTTTTCACACTCCATAGTACAGAAGTAGAAGAGAAATTATTTGCAGTATGGCCATGAAACCACACATTGGTGGAGGAAATCAGTAGCATGATTAGTTTCAGAAACATTGCTATCAGGATTTAAGTTTTTCTTCTGCTTTATATGTTTCATTTTTGTGTGTGTGTGTATATATATATATATTCCCCCACCCCTCACCCCCCCAACCAATTAGGCTAGTTACTTCTACTTGAGCTTTGATTTTTACTGGTGTGGTGGGGTTTGTTTTTTTGCTTTTTGGGTTTTTTTTAATTATCTGGGAGAATGATTCAGAAAGAAAAGTGTGTATCTGTATATGAAAGGGTTGTGTGTGTACATATATGCATGTATAAAAGTTGTGGACACTGGCTTGGTTGCAAAGAAATGAGTTATTTTGAGTCCTCAGAAGATTTGAAATAGTGATGTCTCTTTCAGGACTTTTCCAGCTAGTTATCCAGGGAAGGATGGTATGACAATGAGATGTTGGATGACACATTTTTTTACTTGCTGCTGGTTAGCTGAGCTCAATGTCAGTGTTTGTCGTTGCTGTAATGCAAGGTAGAAGTAATTTGAGTGCATGTGGGGCCTCTGTCGTCAATAATCCTGTAGTAAAAATTCAGTCTTGTACAGGCAGCATTCAATCATGGAATGCGTAAAACCATCAGCTTGGAAAAAATGTGGAAACAGAAGTCTGATTTTTATAAGATTTGCCTTTTTTCTTTTTGAATTCTTTTCAAACAGAGTCATAAAAATCTAAGTTGTTGAACAAGGAAACCAAACATGTTTGTTCCATTTTTGCTGGATTGCAATGACAGTAAACAAGGCTGTACACAGAGGACCCACAGCTTGTTCACGCACATACAACTTGATGTAAGAGGGCGAGAAGACAATTTTATTTTTAAGACAGCATGCTTAACTTCACTAGGTAAATGTGTTATGTTGAAGATACTTGAAAACAAAAACTGTTTTCACATACCAATATCTCAAATTACTTTTTGGCAATCTGAAATGGTGTACTAGCACTTAGTTGGGACCTGTCAATCTGAATAATGTTTTCAAATCACCTGGCTTTAGTGTGAGGAAGGCTGGTTCTGCTCCCATGGGTGTATGTTATAGGTGGAGAGACTTGCACATTCTCTTCCTCCTTCTCTTATTTTCCCTCCCCATGTACTTTCTGCCAGCACAGACTGTAGGTGTGTATTGATCAAATTACAAAAGCTTCAGATTTTAATTGTTTCTTTAGGACAGTTCTAGCACACAGAGAATCTGGTTTTGATGGGCAGAGGCTGATAAAGATCAGTCCAAGGACAGGTGAGTGATCTAGGATCAAGAAGACGAGTGTGGAGCAGGAGGGGGAAATGGGATGTGAAAAAGCACAAGATGGATGTGCCACGATAGCCATGTATTTGGATGTGATGCAGTCTTGCGTGTTGAAATGTCTTGAAAGATACCAAGATAACTCCTTGCAGTAGCAAGTTACTGAATGTAATGAGGCAATAATTTCAGCGTAGATGCAGTACAGTTGTTGACAATTTTTTTTTTCCCTTTTTTTTTTTTTTTCTTCTGCAGATATTCCTGAAATACCAGAAAGCATCTCATTCTGCAGAGCACTACAGGTAGCAGATTTCAGTGGGAATCCACTGACTAGGTAACTTCCACCTTCTTCATAGTACTTGCCATTCCAGAATTACAATCTTGCTGTAACAATAACAATTTTAAATAAGCCCTTAAAAATTGTGATCTAGGATCTCTATGAAATCTTGCCAACAGTGTCTGTCTCCGGCAGGGACTGCGGCAAAAGTTCAAATTTAAAAAGCGATGTGCATCTTTCCTGGGAGGGGATGAAATTTGTTAGCCAACCAGGAAAAATGTAAATCTGATTGTCTCTTAAGTAATTTTCATTCCTCTTCTTAAATGCATAGGAAAACCCTCCTCATACTTGGGAGAGATAAGGCAGTGGTTAGCACAAATGCATTGGCACAAACCCAGGTGCCTGACGATTTGGAATAGACTTTAGGTCAGCTGCTGCAGATAATGGCTTTTACTAATGATTAAAGCTTGGACTAGCGTTTCATCACCCTCCCATCAATTGGGACACAGTGACATGCAGTAACACGTAGCAAAAATGCACTGCGTATGTCAGTGGCTGCTACGGCTGCTCCCAGTCTGCGTTCTGGTGAGCTGGGCTTTGGGGATTACGCGCACTTTTAGTATAGAAGAGGAGTTTTGTTTACATTTCTCTGTTCCGTTTGCTGAAGAATTTGGAATTTATCTAGTGAAATGAGGCTGGAGATAGCAAGGAAGAGATGATCGGCTAGTTAAGGGCTTTGAATACTATTTGGAGAACTGTTTCCTAAACCAGCCTGTACTACAGAGCTCCTTTGTGATGCTGTGCAAGTCACATAAGCCAGAGTATTCATGGTGGGCGCTCACCGACCTGCTTTGCTTTACATGGAGATGGGCTGGGAATACTTACACGATTAGCTGGCTGGCTGGGGTGCAGGAGTGCTGACAAACAGGAGAGTGTCTGTAATATCTTAAGCCGCCCCAGTGGTTTTGCAAGACAGCTTCTCCCACGTGTGCAGCTGAGATTCTTCAGAAGTGCTCTTTGCATATTGCCCATAGTGCGTCCTAAGTTCTCTGGAAAGTCAAATCTCTGAGCATTAAAGGGACACTTGTGATCTTAATCCATGTGCCTCTGTAGCCCATTTATACAGCGAGGATAATAATACCACAAAAATCCAGTAGAGCAAACTGAGGCTGAACTGATGTTTAGATACGCAAGTGGTGAGGGTCACCGAACAGCTTTTTCCCAGGCATCAGTGTCCAGTACAGAAAGCTCAGAGCTGCATCTCGTGGTGTTGAAATCAAAATTATCTGTAGTAGTGTGCTGAATAAGGTCTGGGGCCCAAGTAACATGTAGTAGTTAGATGTAGTAGTTGTAACGCACAGCTACAGCTGAGTGAAGTTAACAAAAGAGTTGAAAGGCGGATTGAAGTAGATCTCATAACTCTTTGTTGACAGTTTAAGGGAATTTTAAAAATTCTTGATAACATGACTCCAAAGTGTATGTGTGTCCTGGAAAACATCACTCCAAGCAGTTTACTAAATTAGAAAACGCAGATACTAGAAGCTGTTTGCACACGATTGCCAGGTATTTTCTGTGATGAGATCCAGAATTTCAGTTTTGCCTGTGTAACAGCATGTAGGTTTTGACACTGGTTTGCTCAGGCAGAGTGGGAAAGTCTAGTAGTGATATCCTTTTCTGTGTGATAGCTTGGAACTTTTTTCAGCCATTGATTCTTGTCCTTATTTCCTCTAAGCTTAAAAGCCAGTCGGAGATCTTCCCAATCAGTGTCCAACCGCTAATATACAGTATGTTGCCTCATTGTCAAACTTAATCATTGATGAACCTGCAGCATTAAAAGTGGCTGGCAGACCATTTTTCCAGGTGTTTTCAGATTATTTCAGGTTTATATTAATAAAAAGCAGGCACATTTATTGTAGCGTAACCTGGAAGTCCACTATATGCTCTAGATAGGATAGAATAGTTCTAGTTGGAAGGGACCTACAACAATCATCTAGTCCAATTACCTGTCCACTTCAGGGCTTACCAAAATATAATCAGACCATTTAACTCCAGTTTTAAACCTGTTAGAGCCTAAATGGTAATGATTAGTTAACAGTGCAGTGCACATTTTAGAGATATTGAGCATGTTCCGTTAATAAGGTCCAGAAAATGACAGAGCAGTGTAGAGTTGAGCACACGAAAAGCTCCCCCTTCTCCCCATTGTAATTTGACTTTTTCCCTTTCCCCATCGTGCACAGTCATATTTTTCTGTAGGTGTGAGTCTCCTTTTGGCTACTTGCCTGCAGGTCATACCACGTGCCTTGAGCTGGGAGATGGGGAGAGCAGGAACCAAACCAAAAGCTACAGCTTGAACTTAGATTGCATGCTGAGCAGAAGTCAGGTGGCTGAACCAGGGGCTTCTCCTCCTCTACCTCATTGCCTATTTTATCCCACCCTGTCTCCGGTGCAACTACCAACTGAGCTGCTTGGTGCAACCTGGTACAGGAATCCACCCGTATGAGGGAAGGGGAAGCGAAGCCTTGCGGAAGACTGGCTGGGTGATGGACCCAAAGGCTTTGGGAATTTTGGGAGTGTTTTCCATATGGCTGCATTTTATAGTGTAAGAAGGGAGGGATTACATGCTGTTGTGTTGTGACCCAGTACACGTGAAATGCTGTAACAGGGGAACGTTGTCTTCATAATGAATAGGCTGTTTCTTCAAAAAGCAGCAATTGAAGAGCAGCCTAGTCGCTAATATGGAATGGCCATGCTGTAAGCATGTATGCAACAGAAGCCTGAAATAAAATAATTTGTTTAATGATTTTACCATCTAGGTGATACAGGAAAATAATAGTTTTTGGGGTTTTGTTGGTTTTTGGTTTTTTTTTAATATGTTTGATTTTTTTTTTAGATTTCTTAAAATGCTTAAAATGTTCTCAAGCCCTATAGCTTTTTAAAGTTGCAAATTAGGGGCAGGGAAGAGAGGGCCTAGGAGACAGGGATGTTACCTGTTCTTTGACACAGAAGAAAATTTTAAGTCTCTAAGTCATGTTTTGGGTTTGGTTTTTTTGTTGTTGTTGTTTTTGTGGGTTTTTTTGGGTTTTGTTTTTTTTTTTTTTGTCTTACTGTGATCGTTAGAATTTTCTGAGAGTCATGCTGGAGTCTGCACATGCCTTCCTCTGTGTGTATTTGCTAAATAGACTCTTGTTTTCCACTACATGTTCTCTTTTCCAGTATGTATTACATGAATGTGAATACTTCTGCTGGCAGTCCTTGATTTGAATTAATATCTCCATAGGTTGCCCGAAAGTTTTCCTGAATTACAGAATCTAACGTGTCTTTCAGTAAATGACATCTCTCTGCAAGCACTACCTGAAAACATTGGGAAGTAAGTTTTTTGTACTTTATTACTATCTTAATTTATATTCTCTTTATTGTTATGCCTATTGTATAAATGACTTGCATGATTGTATGTAATATGAAGTTATTTACAGGTCTGCACTTATTTTTTTTATATTCTTTCCAGTCTGAGGGGTCTGTTTAAGAAAAAACCCTTTGTGTTTTCACTTGGCATTAGCAGACTAATGCAGAATCTTAAGCATATGTGTGCATGTTTTGACTCTGTTCTCCCAGATTTGGAGTAACTGGGAATTTTAGGTAAAAAATTAAATAGGTGTTTTGTGATGCAGATCTGACCTTTTGCTTTCTTTCATTGTAGCAGACAGGTGAACATGTGAGATGGCTTGCAGCTTAGCCCAAAACCAGACAATTGTTGGCACAAGAACGGTTAGGTCAAAACTGGCTGTGATCAGGATGGAAATTAGAAGGTTCCTAACTATAAGAGCAGTCTGGTTGTGAAAAAAAAATAAACCTCCAGTGGGAGTTGTGGAGATGAAAACTCACGGAACAGCTCTTAAGATGAAATTTGATAAGCTTTTAAGATATGTTTATTAACTCTGGAAAATAGAGCAGAGTTGCAAGGACAGACTTCCAAAGCGGAGACATGTGGAAAGTAAAGTGAACGTTGTTTATCTGTCTCATTTCGACTGAAATGAACATCCATGCTTGCAGAGAGGAGGTGTCTCTCCTCTTAGTGGAGAGAAGGGTATCTCCTCCAGTTTGAAGGAGAAGAGGTAATTCCATTTCTCCTCACCTGAATATGTGAGAATGCCTGTGCTGGTTCAGATCAAAGGCTCATCAGGCCCGGCTTCCTACTGCAGTTGCAGTAAGTAGATGCCTTGTGAGGATTAAGAAGAAAAGTGTGTGTTTGACTGTTCCTCTTTCCATCCCCTCACTGTTTCTGGTTCAGAGGATTTCCTGAGCTTTGGATTTTGGTTTGTCTAACTGGTAGCCTATAATGAATCTCTCTTCCCTGTACTGGTCCAGTTTCTCCTTGAGCTCATGTAGACGTCTTTAGTATTCTCCCCTGGGGAATAGCTGCACGCGTTTAGTACCCATTGCATGGGTTTATTGTCGGGTTTTTTTGAGCCTGGCTCTACCTACCTTCCTTGTGATCCCTGGTATTGGGAGAGGTAGTGAGCAGCTGATCCCTATGTGCTTGGTCTGCTGTTGATGTCTTTGTAGTTTTCTACCGTATCCCCAGGTGCTTTTTTCCAGGCTGAAGAGTCTAACTTGCTATTCCAGCTTCAGGAATAGTCTTCACACAACTTAAGATATCTGTGCTTTAACTCAGAAAAGTTACAGTTTGTTACCTTTGCTGGGAAACATACCATTTTAGAGAACTGGAAATTTCTTGCAGCCCCTGATTGTTCTTGATCTTTTTTTTCCTTGCCCCAACTCCCCCCCCCTCCTTTTTTTTTTTGGATTGTTAATCTGCACCTGCCTTTGTGGTTACCTTTCCCATACTGTTGTTCTAAGTAAGTTGCCGTGTACTGAATCACTTCCATCTTTCTTCAGAAAGATACGGTAACTCTGGTGTTGAGTCATGAGTATCAGTAGAGGCCTATAAATCTTGAACATCCTTTCACAGAGTTGAATATTTCTAACATGGATTCTTTGGGGTGTCAGCATGGTCCCTAACAGTAAAACTCAAGTGTTTGTAAACAGAGGAGTCCTCCAGAAGGGATCTTATTTTTAAGAGCTCCTGCAATGTAGTCAAGTTCAGACCGGCATTGCTTTAGCCACTTCCCATGGGTACAGAAGCTGTCAGCTGGCACTGCTCCAGCGGCAACAGAAGCGGAAAATGTCTTTTGAAACCTTCCACAAGCACTAACAGGTACAGCTAATGTGCGCCCAATTGCTGTGGCAAAATCTTACCCCAAAATTGCATGGGCCGGGGCTTTTGTGGCATTCTTCCTTTTCTGTAAAAGTTCACAAAACTTTTCATACAGTTTCTCACAGCACTGACAGCTCAGAACAGGCTTGTTCAGACTTTGCGGTTACTGAAAACCAAGGCCAAAAATTTGGGATCCTGCCTGATTCTGAAAATGAATACAAGAAACATGACAAGCTGAAACGATTCCCAAAGCATGAGGTGGACTGCTGCTTTGCAGACAGTAGCTAGAGAAAGGTTGCTGGCTTCCCTGGGAGGTCACTGGTTGCGGTGGCTCTGCCTTCTTGCTTGTCTTTTGCCTGTCGTTTGGGAGTGTGAGTGGTGACAGCCTCTGTTTTAGAGCAAATGAAACAACTTCGGTTAAAATGGGGATACCTAACATTTTGTAGAGATGTCAATGTGTGCAGCTGTGCAAGAATAAAGGTAAAAATTTGCCTACTATTGATCCTAAGCAGTCCAAGGAAGTGCTGTGATGCGATTTCAGCCTTAGGTGAGCTGTTGCAGAACAGAGCAGGATGACCTGTCCTCCCTCAAAGTCTGTATCTGATTCCAGATATTGAAGCTAAAATCCAGGGGTCTTCACTTGCTCTAGGAAAGAACCATATGCTTGTCCTGGTGGGCTTGGTGAGTTCTCTTGGAGGGCTGGACTTTTGTTCAAGTCTGACAGGCATGCGTTGTTCTGGGAAGTACTCCCAGGTTAGCTATCTAGAATATGAATATTATATTTTTAGAAAAACACTTTAATCTCATTAGTAGAAATTTCTGCTCTTAGATTTATGCTTAAAGAAGCAGACACAAATGTGTGGGGCTGTTGTCTTTGGCTCATCAGGTGTTCACGATAGGTGGGAATATGGCAGTTGGGAAGTGGACGGTAAGCTTGGGCTAAAGATGCATGCTTTCCAACTCAGAAGAATACTAATGTAACATGAGGGGAAACTCATGGGATGTCCATCCAAAATGTACCTGTTCCTGAAGTCTGTTGGGGAATGTCTTGGCGACAGAGAGAAAGGGATCCTGTCTGGTTCCAGTTGGAAATTATTGAGAGGTCTTGTTTGTAGCCAATTAGAACTTCAACCTGAGGTCCTTATGGGTCACTTAACCTCTGAGAGTGAATTTTATCAAATTTTTAGCATTAGATCTATAAGTAATTTTTTTTGAGTCTGGCCACCAACAAGTGCAGCTTTCCTTTTTTAGTTCACAAAATTGTCATCATTTATTGCTAGTGAATTTGATGGTGCAGCTCACCGCCTTGTGTTTGGTAAAAACAGTGAAATGCTCTGTGGCTTCTCTAAAGGTTACCTGCTTGTGCTCTTCTTTTCCTTCTCTGTTCTTTTCCATCTGCACTTTCTGGGACCCAAAAAATGGTACTAATTAGAAAGTAAGTAGTACTAATCTTGTCTTTCTGGCTTAAGAGACTAAGTAAGGCTTTAAAAGGGGTTTGGATGTGTTTGCAGATGCCTTACTGGAGTTTCTCTGTGCTTTGGATAATAATCCATGGTGTTATTTGATGGAATAGACTGGACCTATGTGCTTTGTATGAGATATGTGAAATAGTAAGCAAACAAATGTATACTGGTGATTATTCTACTGCAGTTGGGCTTGTTTTGGGGAAAACTTGAAATCTCTGCGCTTGATGCCGGTCTTCTGGCCACTAGAGTATGTGGAAACAGGGAAATGTGTCCTAAATTCTTATGGTCTTATGCCCAATACAACCAGTGAAATCTCTAATTCATCTTCAGGTAGTACAGTGATCAGTATGTACTTAGTGTTTCGGTCTTTTTTTCTCTCTCTTTTTTTTTTTTAAGCTACCTACTTACAATCTTGTGGAACTGCAAATTTGCCCTACTGTCTTAAATGGGGAAAGCAACAAAAGTAATGGCAAGTATTTTCCAAACAGCAATACTTTGAAGATTAGTTAGGAAGTTCTTCCTAATGGCAGATAATAGTCTTGAATTGCCTTGTGGTGAACCATTAGTGGAAGTGTGTCTTCCTCATGAATTCAGATATTCAGTCCATTTTTCATATGGTCTAGGTGTAAGATGAATGCCAATGCTCAGCTTTACTGTCCCAGGCCAGTGTCTGAACTTGTTCAAGCCATTGATACGTAGAGTTGCTGTTAATATTTTTACTGTGCCATTAAGAATTTTTCTGCATACACCTTTTATATTTTTCTTTTCCTTTGTGTTGCCAAAAGGAGTATTTTTGAGGGTCCTAACTGGATATTTGAAGAACATAAGCAAGACCTCCCTTCAACTTTTTGTCTTTCTTCCAGCTTGTGCATAGCCATGCTCAATGTACATCAACTTTTCTTCTTCTGTGTGACCAAATCAGTCTGCTTATCCAGTGCCTGTATAGGTGCTGAAAGTTTGCCTTTGTTAGATGAAGCATTCCTCTTTTCAGCTCATGTGTTGTTTTGGGGCATATTGGAAAGATGTGTGACACACTGCCTTAGGAGTTGATAACAAACTAGATGCCTTAATATTACCAGGGCTATTTTTTTGTTTCACCGTGATTTGTGTTCTCTTAACTCATAGTGTCATTGCTATTGGGAGTAAAACAGGGAATGCTAATTCATGTGAGAGATTTTAGCTAATAATTAGGTGGGTGCAGCTTGGAGCAGGAGTTGTCCTGTTGGCTAGTTGAACCATTTGGAGAAACAGGTTGTACAATTTCAGCTGTGAGTGGGAGCGTCTTTTACAGCCTTACTCACTCTAAAGAGAGAAAGTCTAATTTCCTCGCCTCTTCTGCAGGACCGTGTGTGTCTGTAGAGCTGCCCAACGAGCAAGCGTAACCTGTTCCTCCTAGCGTGGGTAGCATTTAGGACTTTCCACTTGCTTCCAGGATTTTTCTTCAATACTTCCTTATTCGTGTAACACTCAAAACAGGGGGCGTGACTTTTTCCTGAAATTCAAAAATCAGAGTCTTTGAATGAAAGGGTATTTGGGTAAATCAAGGTGTTTGTAAGGCTTCCTAGGGCATACCTCACAGTAGCATGAATGATCTGATGTCTGCCTGTCCGTGTGTGTTCATTCCGTAGTGTTGGCTCCAGGGTTAGTTCCCCCCCCCAAGCCCTGTGCTGCCCCAGCCCACTGGGA